GTGTAAGAATATAAACCATTACAATATTGGTGTTTTACCGATACCTTATCAATACCATATTGACATCGGAAAAAATTTTATAGTTTCTGCAAAGTTGGTTACAAAGGAAAAGATATTAAAGCCATATTTGAAGAAGCTGATAAAGAGATACCAAATATTTCAACTACATATGAAAAGAATCCTGATGCCATTTATACTAGTAGATTATTTTCATTTAACAATTTGTCTAAACCCATTAATTCACCCATCATTACTTCATATCTAAATGAAGAAGATAATAAAGGTACCATTTTCACATTTTACATAATCAATAATTGATTGTTCAAATAGTTACTAATGTAATACTTTAACAGATTGTCAAGATTCACAATTACTTGATTTAGAGGTCCCTAGCTCATTACACTCAAGAAGTATTTAATTTACATACCGACATTGTTATAATTTTATGTATGTAATATTAATTTTTAATTTATTTAATAGAGATAGTTGATGACCAAAATGGTTCTTGAATTTTTCTTGTAAGTTTATATCTTACATTGGAAATCGGCATATATACTTTTATTTATATTATTACTTTTTTTCATGGTTTATATTATTAAATTGATTTGATAATTTCTTTATTATTGATAAATATTAATGGATAATTAGTTGAATATTAATATACATTTTTATCTATTATTAGTGATATTGCAAATTAATTAAAATATAAAATATAACGAAAAGAAAATTTTACTTTACTTATTTCCAAATCAAACTTAACAATAATTCATTATGTAATAGCAATAGATATTAGTACTTAATATATTTGCTAGATGATTTTCGTATTATCATTAGACTTCTTTATCTGTTTTCGCAAATAACTCATATTTATATCAGATATTGTATAAGTTAATTGAAATTAAGAACAATAAACATAAACATATTTTATTAAATTTAATCAAATATTATGTCCTTCGGCGAAATGGAGTTCGGTGGCTTCGGCAAAATAGATTTTGGCAAAAAGTCCCGATGCTATATACACTATGTTATACGTCTACCTTATAAAAAATTTTTATCCGAATATTTCCATTATTTCTCCGTATCTTCCGTAAAAATTCCGTGAAAATGATACATTCACGGATATCCGTGTTAGCGAGATGAAAATTTCCATGATTTAAGGCTATAAATTCCATGAAAATGATACTTTGCTAACAATGCTAAATTTTCATGATGCATTGTGCAATCATTGTACAAGCCTTGTACAAGGTATTTTAAATCTGAAAATATATAGTACGATATTTCTAACAATACATTTTTAAAATTAATTTATTCACAATCAATTGTAAAATATATAATTCTGATACATTTTCTAATGAATCTTATAATCTTTTACAATGTTTTCACAAGATTTTACTTATATATATTGTACAAAATATTGTATAATGAATTTCACAAGTTACGTTTAGATTAACCTGTATAAATTAATTTTGAATTGCTGATCTGTATTCTTTATAGCTAAGACCCACTTGATCGGCAAGTCATATTGTTATCAATTGAAATTTTAATCGGATTATTAGACCGATTTATATTTTTTTTTAAACCTATTTTTAAAATTTTATCTTTTCTTTTGAACCTAATTGAACTTTCAATTCCTTTTTTTTTTTAATTTTCTTTTTTTTTCTTGAATCGATCTTTTACTTTCAGTTCTTTCTTTTTTTTAAGTTTCGGTCTTTTTTTAGACCATATTATTAATTTATTTAAAATTTTTTTTCAGTCTTTTTGGACCAGATTATTGTTCTTTTTTTTCAGAATTTTTTTCGGTACTTATTTTTTTTACGGATTCCTTTTGTTCTTTCCTTATCCTTTTTCTTTTCCCCCAAATTATATTTTTCGCTCTTTTTTCCAATTTTCTTCATTGTTATTATTTTTTTCCCAAACCACATTCTTAAACCATTTAGATTTAGATCAGTGATCGGATTGATGCTGTAGCACCACGGTAATTTCCTTTTTTCCCGATTCTTATTATTAGTAATATTTTCCCTAATTATTTTTTAGGCTCAATATAAATAGACTGACATAATTTATTTATTTTTTGTAACAATAGATCGGTTTAGTAAATTCTATGGGAAAATGTTTTTTCATGACAATAGATTGTTATAATTGGGGATGATTTTTTTCATGACAATAGATTGTTATAATTGGGAAATTTTTTTTCATAGCAATAGATTGTTTTTGGGGGATTGTGAAATATTTTTTTGGAAGGATTGCTAACTGTCGCCTGGGCGATCACCGCCTGGGTTTTTTTTCAAATATGTCACATGATGTACAAATTTATTAGTCGGCTGGGCTGATTTTTTAACTTAGCTATTTTGATCGGTTAAATTTAAATTTTATTGCGAAGATATTTATAAAAAAAATTTTTTTGCATAATTATTCAAAATAATCTTATTTGATAAAATTTTATTTGCAAATATTAAAATTTAAGCCACACATTTACAATTTTAAAGAAAAAAATCACTGTATTTAAACAATAACAATAAATAAAAAGATAAATAAATTACAATGACCAAGGAGAAGATGCTAATAAAAAAACGAAATAACAATGGAGTAATGGAAAGTAATAGAAGATGAAAGAGAAAAAAAGAGTAATGAGAAGTGATAGGAAGCAAAAAGGAGAAATAGGACATGATGAGAGATGAAAAGTAGTGATGGGAAATGAAAAGAAGTGACGGGAGACGAAGAGGAGTGATGGGAAATAAAAAGGAGTGATGGGAAGTAAAAAGGAGTGATGGGAGAGTGATGGGAGATGAAAAGGCGTAATGGGAGACGAAAAGGAGTGATGGGATATGAAAAGGAGCGATGGGAGACGTAAAGAATTGATGAGAAGATGAAGAGGAGTGATGGGAGACGTGTGTTATTATTACTCTCTTTATACTCTCTTATTTGATGGGCAAGTATCATTCCCGCCACAACGCGACGGGTTACATCTAGTATATACTATTAAAATGTAATATTGACAATAGTGTATAATCTATAATGTGATGAAGAGGAGGGGCTTTTTGTTATCCTTTTTTTTAACCTTTTTTTTTAACATTTTTTTTTTTAAACTTTTTTTTTTGAACCTTTTTTTTCATTTTTCCCTTTTCCTTCGTTCGTCCCTTCATTTCCCTTCATACCCTTCTTTTGTCTTTCCTTCATTCTTTCCTTTTCCTTCCCTTCCCCTTTCCCTTTACTTTTACATTTCCCATTTCTTTTTTTCTTTTTTCTGCTTCTCTCGCACCTTTTGTTGAAAAATCTTACTAGCTATCTCTCCTTAGATGCGAACTTCGGTAAATTTGTCTTTTTTTTTAATTGTTTTACTTTCTTTTATCTAGACGATTCTCTCAATTCTCTTTGGATATGGGATTCTGGTATGATATTTTTTGTTTTTTTTTTTGTTTTTTCTTTAATTATTTTATTTAACGAACTTTATTAATAGTTCGTTTTTCTTCTTTTAGAGTTGCCAATTCTCTTTGAAAATAGAAGTGAGTGTCCGTCTCTTGTGTAAATAGAGGTAGGTTTTTTTTTTATAGTTTGTTGTTTTGTTGTTTTCGTCTTTGGTACTAAATTTTCTTCTTTTTAGGACTTATCTATCGGACATGTGGGATTTCGGTAAGAAATCAGACAATATTTTTTAATGTTTCTTTATATTTTTTTAACGAACCATTTTTTAATATTTTGGGGTTTCTCTTTTTTTTTAGGTGACCGGATCTTAAAAGTATTGGTATCAGAACTTTCTTAGAAATTATTCCTTTTAACGAAACATTTTACTAACGTTTTGATATTTTTCCTTTTTTTTTAGACGACAGATCTTTGAAAAATGTTGATTTCGGTAAGTATTGAAACTTTTCTTTGAACTTATTCCTTTAACGAAACATTTTATTAACCTTTCAATATTCTCTTTTTTTTAGGTTGAGCAGGTCTTTGGACACGTAGAGTTCTTTATAGGTAAACGAAATACAACAAATTGCCTGAATCTTTGAAAAAAATGGTTAGACCAAATATATTTAATATATATGAATATTGAATTTTTTTAGAAAAGAACTATTATTTATTTGATTTAAAAGAATTTTTTTTAATTTATACTTTAATGAAACATTTTACTAACGTTTCAATTTTCTCTCTTTTTTTTAGACGGCCAGTACCTGGGTGCGTATTGTTTCGGTAAGGGATTCTGAAATATATTTTATTAATTTAATTCTTTTAGTGAAACGTCTTGCTAACGTTTCAATTTTATCTTTTTTTTTTATATGCAGTCAAGTCCTTGGACGCGCAGAATTTTTGTAGGGGATTCTTTCTTTAACGAAACGCGGAATTGGTAAGTTTTTTCTCTGCTTTAGTTTATTTATACTAACGAAATTTATTTTAACATTCCAAATTCTATTCTTTTTTTTGATAGGCCTGAACGTATGAATTTTGAAAATTTTCTTTTTTTATACAGATTTAGAATGTGGATTTTGGTGGGAAGATGAATATGTTTTTTTAAAATCTTTTTATTTAACGTTAACGAAATGTTTCTAACATTTCGTGTTGGTTTTCAGATTTTTGTAAGTATTTTCTTTATCTTTAGTTATATTAACGAACAGTTACTGATGCATAATTTCTTTAATAGCGTTTACATCAAAAAAAGATGAAGAATGGTAGAGGAGTATTTAAATGAAGATAGAGGAAATGTATTTTACGATTAAAATTACAGATGTATTTTTACAATAAAATTTACAATTTATTTTATAATTAAATTTTACAATATATTTTACAATAATTTGCTACAATTTATATTAAATATACATATTAATAAATTAATATTACAATTAATATTATATAACTATTGTACGATGTCCCTACAAGACCAATAACGAGTATCTTAACATGGTTTGTATATAATGTACTGTAATATTAATTTTACAATACATTTAAAAAATTTTAAGTTGTTAGCAAAGTACATTCACGGGAAAAAAATGGAAAGATAAAACACGGATCAGATTTTTTACAGGGCTATATAATACAATTTTAATAAATAATATAACATCCGAGTGAAATTCAAAAAATTATGTTTTTCTCATAAATAAATCTATATTGCTATAGGAGCAAAAAACAATTGTGAAGTGTATGAATGTGAAGATAAAGAGTCTAGGAGGAAGATAAAGAGAAAGCTACTGAAAGTTATTTAAACGTAAACATTTGATGATTAACACTTTATTAACAAATGGTTTAAGATTTATTTATTATTTGTTAAAAACATAAAACGCGATATACCGTAAATAGGACCCCGAAATATATATGTAGAGGTCAGGTCCAGAAGTGGTCCAAAATACGCATTCTTTCAGGGCCGGAATTATGATAATTTCAGCTATTATCTAAATTAGGAAATATTATTTTGGCTGGGATTATCCATAAAAGGAATGATCTACATGATTTTTTGACTCATTATACGCAAACTCTGACCTGACCCTTTTATGTATATTTCGGGGTCCTCCGTAAATAACTTCCTGCAAAAAATTCAGTGTCCAGTTTTAAAAAAACTTTTAAAATTATTAATTCGGCTAGGGTTAAATATTATGAGTGTTGAAATGGAATAAATTAACGGATTTTATGTAATTTGTTTATAGGGTATAATACGTATAAATATACCGTCGATCATTTTGTACATCATTTTCTTTGCTGTACAACCTTAAAATTTTTACGCCAATCTAATTCCTAATAAATAAATTTCTGTAATACAAACATCTTCTACAATACTATTCTATTTTTGGTTATATATCTCCTTTTTTACCCTTATTAAAAAGAATTTAAATAAACGCCCAATATTTTTACAAATATCTTTTACTGAAAATTTTTAATTATAAAAATATGAGTAAGGATAATTATAAAGAAAATGAAAATCAATTAGAATCTGAACTTGATAAATTAAATATTTCTGACAATGATTCAAGTTCAGTGAATATCAACCATAAAGATTGTTATGTCAACTATGTAAAATCATGGTGTAAAGAATGTGTTCCTCGTTGCATAATTGAAGGATGGACCAGTGAAAATCACGATATTGATGAATTTATCAAGGATACAATTTATAATGCAAGGCCGATATATAATAATTATGATGTTGATTATCCATTATTTCTTGAATGGGTACTATTTGATAGATTTGAAGATATAAAACAAATTGGGGAAGGTGGATTTGCTAAAGTATATTCTGCAACATGGGTTGATGGTCAAGCAAAATATGAAAGACAAGATGATGGAATTTGGAAAAAAAAAGAATCCAGCCCAATGAAAGTTGCCTTGAAAAAGTTAAATGATTCACAGAATATATCAGTTGAATATTTAAATGAGGTAAATTTTATATTCAAATATACAATATGTATTTGTTATGTTAATTAATATATGTTTAAACTATTTTTAATTTAAATTATAGCTTCAAATACATTGGGATTATTTTAAGAAAAATAATGAATCATTTTTAAAATTTTATGGAATGACAAAAGATCCAGTAACTAAAGAATTTATGATGATTATTGAATTTTCAGAAAAAGGAAATTTAAGAAGTGTACTTTCAAAAGATTTTAATAATATTTTATGGAAAGATAAAATTATATTTTTGCGTAAATTATCATATGAACTTAATAATTTTCATAAATTAGGATATTGTCATAAGGATTTACATAGTGGTAATGTATTACAAATTTATCATGGTGGATATAGGTCCAATGTTTCTTATATTTCAGATTTTGGATTATCAGGACCATTGAATAAACAACAATCAGATGGTAAAATATGTGGAGTGTTGCCATATGTTGCTCCAGAAGTATTAAATAAAGAGCCATATACAACATCATCTGATATTTATAGTTTTGGTGTAATTATGGCAGAATTATCATCTGGAAAACCACCCTTTCATAAAAGAAAACATGATGCTATGTTAGCATTAAAAATATGTAATGGACTCAGACCAGAATTTGGAAAAGGAACTCCTGAAATTTATAAAAAATTAGCTTATAGATGTATGAATGCTAATCCAAATCAAAGACCAATAGCAAAGGAATTATTTGATATATTGGCTTTTTGGTATAGTTCCACACATGATAATGAAAATGAAAATGAAAATGAATACTATCAGGAAAAAGAAAAATTTGGTTACAAAGGAAAAGAAATTAAAGCCATATTTGAAGAAGCTGATAAAGAGATACCAAATATTTCAACTACATATGAAAAGAACCCTGATGCCATTTATACTAGTAGATTATTTTCATTTAACAATTTGTCTAAACCCATTAATTCACCCATCATTACTTCATATCTAAATGAGGAAGATAATAAAGGTAGCATTTTCACATCTTATATTATCAATAATTGATTATACAAATAGTTACTAATGTAATTCATTAACAGATTGTCAAGATTCACAATTACTTGATTTAGAGGTTTCTAGCTCATTACAATTATCAAGAGGTATTTGATTTAATTTATCATACATTGTTATAATTTTATGTATGTAATATTAATTTTAATTCATTTAATACAGAGATAGTTGATGATGAAAATAGTTCTTGAATTTTTCTTATAGGTTTATATCTTACATTAGAAATCGGAATATGTGCTTTTATTTATATATTATTTTCTTTGAAAATAGAAATATTATTTATTCATGGTTTATATTGTTAAATTGATTTGATAATTTCTTTATTATCATTGATAAATAATGATGAATAATTAGTGAATATTAATATACATTTTTATCTATTATTAGTGATATTGCTAATTAACTAAAATATAAAACATAATGAAAAAAAATTTTGTTACCCTTATTTCCAAATCAAACTTAACAATAATTCATTATGTAATAGCATAGATATTAGTACTTAATATATTATTTGCTAAATGATTTTCGTATTATCATTAGATTTCTTCATCTGTTTCCGCGAATGTATATCAGATATTGTATAAGTTAATTGGAATTAAGAACAATAAACATATTTTTATCAAATTTAATCAAATATTATATAATTAGAATATATCTTCAGAACAGAGTAAAAGTAAAATCATCAATATTATATTACGAATGTACGAATGAGATAAAGCAATAAATTACTCCTAATATAAAATAAATTACTCCTAATATAAAATAAATTTCTAATTATATTTTATTGATGCACTGCAGTTTAATAAAAGGATAAATTTTACAAAGTACTACAAAATTATAAATAAATCTTTGATCATGAAATTTTACTTACAATTAATAATTTCGTAATAATATACAACACATGTTATACAAAATATACAAAGAACCTATGAACCTATGAATGTAATAATTTAATATAATTGTTATAATTTAAAAATAATCTATTAATATTATTTCTCCAGATTTTCATAAAAATGCAAGAAATTGGACATATACCATTTGGAACTAAATAAAAAATTTTGATTTGTAATTTTTCATGATTATATTCTTTCCTTTACAGTTTTTACATATATATGTACGTTAAAGAATCCTACGTTTACCTTGCGTTCATTAAATTATTTTTTCAAATTTTTTCTTGGTGGGAAAAAATTTTTTTTTTCCGAAATGATAATTATTAACGGGACGGTCGGGACGTGAACGGTGAACTTGTCACAAGAATTTAGTTGACTGCGTGACTGGATTTTAAAAATTATCATTGTTTAAATCACGTATATTTATTATTTATAATGTCAGATCAATAATCTTGCATTGTTTTTCACATACTGTATCATATATATATATATTATTTGATTTTGTTAAGTTCAATGAAAGGATGCGTAAAAAAATGTATAAAAACTGACTCATACATCATACATCATACAAATTCCATTTTTAAGATACAAGTTTATTATTAAATGATGTTACTTATTATAAATAATATCTTTTATAATAATACATAAATCAAAATATTTTCGTACTACAATATTATGTAATTTAAATTCATTAACTTCATCTTTTAAATAAAACAAATCTTTATTCGTATCACTAAAAGGAACCAATTCTAAATAAGCTAAATATTTAACCTTTTCCTTCATCATAATATATTTCTTTATATAAGATAAAATACTTTTATCATCATTTTTCATTATATTTCTAATTAATAATTTTTTAATAAAAGTATTTTGAGAATTTTTTAAGAATATTTCAAAATCTTTTGTATTAAAAGAAAATGATAAAGATAAATAATCTAATTTAGAAGGTAAAACTTGACCTAAATTTTGTAATATGATTAAACTTAAATCATCAGAATAATTAAGATTCAAATCAATATTAATATAATTAATAGTTTGACCAATATTTTCAATTAATAAATAAATATTATTATCATCAGGTTTATCAGAAGTAAAACGTTTAATATTTGTACAATAATTTATAATTAATCCAAGTAATTTTTTTCTTGATTCTTCATATTCTTCTCGCATAGAACCAAATTCAAAATTTTCTAAATAATTTCCAAATTTTTTTAATAAAAATTGTAATGAATCAAAATGTGAGATTTCTTTCATAAATAAACTCTTCAATTTAAAAGGTTTAATAATCTTATTAATTTGTTGAATAAAATTAGAATTTATAGAATGACAATAAAGAATATGAATAGATTCTAAAACATTCAAATGATTAAATACTTCATTAAAGATACAAATTATATCATTAAAATCAATATAATAAAATACAATTGTATTTAAGGTATTTGAACAATTAGAATTTTTTAATGATAAAAAAGGATTATATAAAATAGTATTAGATTCAAATGAGATTTTTTTAAGATTATTTTGTGAAATAATTATTTGTGATAAATATTTTTCAATTAATGAACGATTATTAATATTATATATAGGAAAATTTAAAATAATTGATGAAATTGAATTACAATTAGAATATAAAAATTTTAAAAAAGGAATAATATTCATAATATCATGAAATGATATATTATAAATATTAAATGTTAAATTTTTAATATTATATGTAAGATTTGGATTTTGTAAAATTAATTCCATGGTATCAAAATATTCAATACCAGCAAACATTACAATTTCAAAAGAATATAAAATTCCTTCATTTTTAATGAATATTTCAAATAATGATCTATAAACTAATTCTTCTAATTTTTCACGATCATCATCCAATAAGGTACAAACCCACTCTTTAGTAGAAATATAAATGGTACCTAAATTTAAACATTTAATAAAACTAGGATAATTGAATAATAATGTATTAGAAGGTAATAAATTATTAATAATTTCATATTCATTAAATTTTGTTTTATTATCATCATTTAAATATGATAAATAAATTTCAATACATCGATAATTTTTGGTAGGAATCGAAAATGGATTTTCCCATAATAATGGAATCGCTAAACGACACCATAATCTATTAACAAAAATACATGAATACAAAGTTGTTAAATCTTTTTTAAAATATTGTATAATTTCATTTGTTATTTCAGGTAAATCTCCTGAAAATATTTTTGAGTATGCCATGTTATAGGAAGAAAGAGCGGGTGACTTTTTTTTTCATTTTTTTAAAAAAAAATTTTATTAAATTTATCAATTTTTTAGTCGTACACTCGTACTGCTCCACAGAAAGAAAATGTAAATCGTTCTTTTTTTGGATACATGCTGATCTATTCTCGGTTATCGATCAAAATTATGTCATAATTGCGTATCATAAAATAGATTAGGTTAAATATTTGGCAAATTTGTTACAGCCACATAACTCTCGTCATTTTATTAAAGTTACAGATTTACATATACAAAATTTTTAAGGTTGTTTAATTTTGAAATTGGATTTGGCTCAGTATGAGCGTTGCACTAACGTTTTTAATGATAATCTAACCTTTTAAATTTAGACCTGAAATTTTTAGGTTTGATTAAAATGGGAATTTTAAGAAATAGCGTAATGGCGTAATGGCGTATTGCAGCTAGAGTTTGGATCCTTTATTTGAACGGATATTTTTAATTTGGTTAGGGTGATAGACTTTCAAATTTTTAAAAATGGTTTAGTAATAAATAATTTATTTTCGTAATGTTGTAGTAATGGAATATCTCGAATATCCGGAGTATAATTTGTGTATAGTGAATCTATTACTATCAAAATTAAACCCATTAATTTTTTGAAGAATACTGCGGCTATTCTCACGGTTGCTATTTTTTTTGGTTATTTAAATTTTTTTTAATTGCTGTTTCTCTACGTCGATCAATATAAAAAATTGCATTTAAGTCGCAAGACATCTTTGTTTATTTCTCTTTTATAATGAAATTCATTAAATTTATATTGTAAGCAACAAAAAAACTGTAGATAGGATAATTTTTATAAATTATTGCATGTACTGTAAAGTCTGGCTTAATAAATTGTCTTGATTTTTCAGTTTTGAAATGTCTAACTATAGAGTTTATTAATAAAAAAAGGAAATTTTTGTTATATTTTACTGATATTAGCCATAAAATTTATATCCTGAAAAGTTCTAGGTTGTTCAAACTAAATGAAAGATTTTATATAATAAAAAAAAAAAATTCTTTTTTTTTTGGAAATGTGACAATGAGTGCCACGGTTTACCATTTTGAAAATTCCAACTAAAAAATAATGATTTAATAACCTTTATTTTTTATTATTTTTTTTTTTGAACTTATCCAATTATGTTACCTATTTGAATAGCCGCAGTACGCCATTCCATTTCAACCGTAGAAAATAATTAGCGAAAAGCTAACTACCGGAATTGTCCTGCGAAAAGCCCATTTCGAACCTGGACTGGAATTTCTAATTTTTACATTGAAAAGGGTATAAGGCTATTTAATAAGGGATTTATTAAAAAATTAAGTTTTATTCATTTATCACTACTAAAATTGAGATGAGGGAAACAATTTGAAAATAATCTTTGATGTATGTTAACGTTAACGTTAACGTTAACGTTTACGAAGTACCGGAATGAACCAAATCTCAACGTTAACCGATGCACCCATTGGAGACTACAGATTCTGTTGGGATATTTAATATTTACTTGATTAGTTTATATATTATGTGATTCATCACCTAGTCCACATTCAAACTTTCAATTTGCAATCTTGTTAAAATGACAATAATATGTTCGTCAAAATAATGTACTAAATCAAGAGAAAGTTATATTTAGAACAATTTTCGCACTATATAATACAAATAAATTGTTATTACGGTAATTACTTGACTAAAAATAGCATAATACAATAAAAGATTAAACAATCAATCGTTTAATTTAGTAAGAAAATAATAAGAAAAAATATATATGCAATAAAGGTCGAATGTATCAAATTAAACCAAGCATAAAAAAACAACAGAGATTGCTTTTTTGTTCGAAGCGTAGTGTAGGACTATATGTTAGATTCGATATCATGTAATGTCACGCCACGTGTATAACCAATGAAATTTAGGATCAGGTACGCGTAAATAATTTATTTAAATAGTTTAAATAGTTTAATTTATAATAGTATAATAAATATAAATTTAAAGAAATCGGGTTTACATTATTTTTAAGTATTTTTAAGGAACTAATACTTTTATGATTTTTATGTAAAAAAAATTGTTATAAATAAAAATTTGAAAATAAATATCTCTTTGGCTTTTAAAGTGCAAATAGACCGTTGCTTTTTTAGTGATACATTATTTAGTGATATATATTTTTTTAGATGGTCATGTGAATATAACGCTTCGGACGCTCCAACGGTTCTGCTGTTACCTAGTACTATTAGTAAATTTAAGAATTACCAAAAGAAAAGTTGAGTCCACATCTACAAATATCAATTAATTGATCTAATTGCATAAAATGAATATTCGTTAATAACAGTTGTGAGTAATTACTGCATAAGGCTAAATAAAAATTACAACAAACAGACGAAACTGATTTTGGAGAATATGAAAGTATAATAGCATCGCTGAATTGGACTTATATACATCATGGGCATAATTTTAAGGAACGGAGTTTTATCTTAACGGAATATTACTGATTTTAATATTCCTGCCATCAAAATCCATACAAGTCGATTTACCCTTAACGGAATATTCATACCATATGTAAATATGAAAATATTATTGTTATATATAAACTGCCTTATCATTTGTGATTTGTTCCATTTTTTTTGATTTTGGCTAACTCGAGCGCATGACATTTTCATGGACGACACGTTCAGTTCTCATATCCCATAAATTCTGATTTCTAAGATTTAATTTTCTTTTTTATATTTAAAACTATAATATGTTTTTTATTTCTTATTTATTTATTAATATACACTAAACAAGCGTATCACGTTATAACTAATATAATAATTATAACTGTTCGTGGTATAAAAATCAAAAAATAAATACTATAAAATGAACAAAACTGATTTATTAGAAAAATTTTGTTAACTGATTAAATCAAGATATGAAACCCGATTTTTTAATATCATGCATGTAGTAATAAAATATTATAGGCTATATGAAAATATTAGCATAATAAATAACTATTCAGCGATTATAATGGTAGGATGACTTTAAAGTTCCTATAAAATTAATCTATTTGTATATTAAATCTATTAAATCTATTAAATAATCCCGCTAACTACAGTAATGCGTAATAAGTAAAAAATTCGAAAAAAAAGTAAAAAAAAAAAAAATTAATTCTTTAAAATTATAATTTAAAGATCATTGATATCAAAATCAATTGCTTTGGTGACGTATCCTAATTGTTAAAATTTTTATAACAAGAATTAGGTAAAAATTTTTATAATGTTGACTCCATATTTATAAATACTACAGTATATGTTGCTTACCATTATTACAAGGTTGATTAGAACTCATATTAGTATCAAATCCAATTTCTTTTGTAGAGTAATCTATAAAATCATAAGGATCAATTAGAATTAGGCCGTCCCAACTTGATTGTTTGTAAAGTTTGAGGGGGGAGGGGGGGGGTCTTAATTAAACAAACTAAATGAAATAAACATAATAAAACGTTGGAAATTTTGGAAAATTCGGAAAATTTCAGAAAAATTTAAATTTAATTTAGAAGGGACATTTAAACATATATATTGTCATATGTGGGGTGGGTACGTTATACAAACAATCAAGCCCTATGTGTAATTTTATTTACCACTATTTTCATCTTCAAGAAATTTTCTTCTTTTGATACTTTGGTCTAAATCATTATGAAAACTAAAATGTGAATTAAATAGTAAAAGTATAAATAAAAAAATAATTTTTCAGATTTGATTATCGTACCATTGTCATCAGCTGAATCATCTTCGAACTTTCTTTTATCTTTAAAATAATATTAATAAAATAAGTAAACAACATAAATTAATAAAACATTAAAAAAACTGAATAATTACCAGTAGATATTAAGTTATTTTTCTGATAATAATAAAATGGATCTAAGAATTGTTTAAAAATAAATAATTGTTCAAAAAATTTTTTTTTTCAACAAAAAAAAGTAATATAATAAAATTTGTTACCATTAGTTTGACTACTTGAACTCCTTGAAGACATTGCAGATTGAATCATGCAACTTAATGGTCTGCTCTTATAAATGGCGCCTGGATCTTTTATTTTTGCAGGTCCAATATCTGATGATTCTGTAATTTCAGTTTGATTTAAATCCGAAAACTCTTCTTCATTAAACCACATTTTATCAATTTTCTCAGATATATCATTAGCTGTTGGTCTTTTTACTGGATCAGAATGCCAGCACCTCTTCATTAATTCAATATATCCCTTAGGTGCATTTGTAACAATTGGTGGTCGTAAACCATCACATATCTCAATTATAAGTCCTATATCATGATTTTTATCCAAAAAAGGTCTTCTACCTGTCATAAATTCCCACATAATCATTCCAAAACTATATATATCTGAAGCTTCGGTATATTTTTGTCCATGAAAAATCTCTGGCGCCATATAAGGAATGATACCATACCTCTCATTATCATTATTTGATTCAGTTGCAGATCTACTTATTCCCAAATCACCGATGTACGCATAATCTTTATCAAAAAAAATATTTCCACTATGTAAATCTCTGTGGATAATTTTTGCTCTATGTATATCTACAAGTCCAAGTATTATAGAAGATAATCTATCCAGCTTTATCCGCCAACTAATATTATAAAAGTTATTACTTAAATAACGCATCAAGTCGCCTAATTCATAATATGGCATAATAATCATCATATCTTTAGTATTAGGTTCTTGAGTAATTCCAAAATATTCACCAATACCATTACTAATCATATCATTTGATAAAATCTGATAATATACTTTAAGCTAAATAAATAAAAAAAAAAAATATTAATTTATCATTCATCATCACGTTAAAGATTAGAATATTGCATGTACTGTACCTCGTTCAGTTCTTCGGATGTAATGTTTTTAGAATTATCAAGTCTTTTGAGAACAACTGAAAAATTATTTTTACGAACAATATTATCAGTATCAGGTTTAAAAGAGAAATAATCAATTGGACCATCAACCCAAATAGCTTTATAAATTTTACTAAATCCTCCTTCAGCAATAAATTCTATATCTTTAAATTGGTCATAGGGAATAAATTCCAATATCCAATCTTTTGAACCTGTAACAAAATTAACTTGCGTATTTCTGATAATGCCATCAATGACTTTGTTCCCACTTAAATTAGTTTTGAATATTCCATAACATACTTGACAAGTCTCATGATTTTCATCTGTAGTTATTCTTATTTTACATTTTATACATTTTATCTCTATTTTACTAACTACAGTTCGTGCTGATCGACTTAAGGACATGTTGTCTGATATCAGAAACAATATTTATGTTCGTAGTTTATTGGTTGTTTTGTTATTTCAAAAATTTATAATTTACTTGTAACGTTCAAGAAATATTTAAAATGAGCCGAACGCTCATGAAATTTTTCATGAAAAGATATTGAATGAATTTTGACAAGAATTCCGAAAGAATAAAAGAATTCTTATATATATGTATATTTTTTTTTTTTTTTTTTTTTTAACGATATTCTATAGATGCAGTGTTACAGGAGCAAGTCCGTTTTTTCCATTAAAAGTAAGTTATCGCTGTTTGTGCAACAACCCTCGTAATAATAATAATTGTTTTGTAACAATAGCTAAACTCGATATCGATTATACACCAGGCAAATTATATAATATGTTAAATCATTAAGGTTTGGGACTTTAGAGTATTAATACTAATTATAGTATGTTATAGATACTCATCAAAAAATGCAAGATAATTTTATGAAAATATTTAATTCGCAATTCGCGAGATTTTCATCAATGATCGGCGGGCAATTTTAGTATTTAGTACCATAATCGGCTATACTAATTTTAGCCCTACTTCCGTTTGTCCGATTAACCAACATCTGGGGATTTTTCAATTTGTAATCATTTGTAATCATTTGTAATCTTCCGGGTCCATGTCTTCTGCCGTCATTATATGAATCCGAGTTAATTCCACGTCGGATCCAACGGGAACCTGGGCGAAAATTAGTATATCTGGAGCCAAAATGCAATTATTGGTACAGTTTTATTGTGATTTCGAACTTTTAAAAGTACCAAACAAATTCTTGACATTCTGACTATCTCTCATTAAAAAATAATGAGGATATCTTCAAAATTGCAAATTTTAAATGAGGGCTGAAATCACAAAATTAGACATTGTCGTCGGCTTATGAGCATATTGTTTGTATTTTTCAACAATTAAGAGCTTTTTCTCTGCAGTCAGTGCTAACCGAATTATATATATTATGGAAATTAAGATTTTTATAATATGGTTAAGGGCCGCTTTGCTTAATTACAAATAAAAATATGTACAAAAAAAAAATTTGATGAAAATCCTTTCCATTTCTCACGAATTGTGAATTAATGTTTTGGAAAAAAAAATTTAATTTATTAATTTCTATTTAATATATAACAAGTAAACATTAAACATGGAATATTGACAAAAATAATTCATTATTCATGTTTACTTTTATCGAAAATATCTAACTATCTAATAATACAAAATGTAAAAATCTAATTATGCTATATGAAATAATATTTAATAATACAAAATATAAAAATCTAATTATGCTATATGAAATAATATTTAACAATGAAAAAAAAATTTATAATAAATTGATAAATAAATAATAAAAAGTTGGGTTTTAACCTAAATATATATATATATATATAATATGAAAAATAACCTCTATGAAAAATTACTATACAATGTAAATATTTACTAATTTAAAAACGGTTGTATTGTATATAAAAAATGTAATTATGTATATTATACTGATCGCTGAGAACGCTTAAATAGTGTTTCGATCCGTTTCCGGGTTCAACCGGATAAACCCGGATAAATTTTTTTTTTAGGTATCCGGATAATTACGGTTTTTACCCGGATAAATATCCGGATAAAAAATAGTAAGATTGACCCGGAATCCGGATAAAAAACAATTTTTTTTTAAAAAATTTAAATCACTTATTAATTTTCATAACATTTCATATATTTTTAATACTATGATTCAATTTGGTAAATTCATATTATATAAAGGCTAGATTTTACTTTAAAGATATAATAATATATTTTTTATTATTTTTAATCCCTATAAGAAATATGTATACGGAAAGGATACGTTTTGTATACATTTTATGTACGTTTCTATAGATTCCGTGTACAAATTCCGTATATTTAATAAGCAATTCATTTTTGAACATTTTTTAAAAAAACTAATGTATACGGAAAAAATTAATCATACGGAATGTATACGGAATTTTTAAACTTAATATTTTTAGAAAATAATTTTACAAAAATCTCGTATCATACTAACACGAGATCACGTGATTGTTTATTGTTTTGTTATGATACGTTTTTTGTTTTTATATAAACCCTTACTTTGATGAGTTTGATCTTCCGATCTTCCTTTCTGTCTTTCCCTTCCTTCTCTTTTCTCTTGTCTTATTT